TCCTTTTCATGTTGGCAGCACCTTGTTTCTATCTATTGTAATCAGGGGGGGTTAGCAATAGCACATGGGAGACTCCCAGACCAGTGTGTTTCACTTGGTGACCCACTGGGAGAGGATGCCTTTGTATCTGTTGCTGCTGGATATCCACATACTTTTTGCCAGAGGCTGAGGCACTAAGAGCTGAGTTGCCAAGTGTTACATGGGAAGTCATAATAGGAACAGGAGCAGAACCCATGTTTTGATGGCCAGTCCCTTGTCTAGCCCAGTGATCAGGCTGCTGTCACTCCACTGGCTTAAATTTAAAATGATAATGAAGGTGCGCAGGGAAATGGCTCTTAGGAGCAAGGGGATCCAAGTACAAGTTAGTAGTTCCTTGGTAGGGCCATCTGCAAGCTCGCAGCCTCCGCACTGCTCACTTTGAAGAGGGCGTGAAAGCACGTCTCCCATCACTCAAACGATAGAGGTAAGTCCCTGTGGTCGGGAGTACTCAGGTACAGACTCGTTTACGAGCTTTAAAACAACTCTGTACACTGTGCAGCGACTCAGTGATTCTCTCACTTGCAAGGAACTTTGTAGATCATTCAACTTCCAGGTGCTCCAAGTTAAATTCAATTTCTTTTCATTTCTAAACTAGATTTATTGGGGTTGGATCTCCAACGCTTTCTTACGGCTGCCTTGCATTTGCAAGGGTGGCTTCTCAGGGAAGTGGGTCCAGTGGCAGTCATCCATGATACAGGTGATAGATGATACTCATCCATGCTATCTTCAGTTTGCTCTATTTGTGAAGTGTGTTTTTGCTTTGAGGGTTTGCTTAGAAGCTGCGTAATGCTAATTACGCACTTGTCTGTGGCAGTTGACGGAAAGTAAGCAGCTACTTCTGAAAGGATCTGCTGTATCTAATTTTTTTCTTCCAAAATAAGAAGGTTCTTGGTTGCTAAAAATCATTAGGCCACTTTCTCTTTTGCTACTTGACGTTACAATAACACGGTGCCCTGCTGGCATTGCAGAATGAGTTAAGCAGCCAGTTTTTACCTCCCATGCTTTTGATAAGTTTCTTTTCCAAATTTTTGTCGCTTCGGAGAGCCGTGTCCATTTGCTTATAGCACAGGTGAACGGGCCCAGTAATAATACCCAGCCACTGAGTATTTGCAAGTACTTGCAGTACTTAAGCATTGTGATAAAGGGTAAAGCCCTTTCCACTTCTTGTTTCCACATTACTTGTTCCTTCTGAGCATGGTGATGAGAGGGAGATGGTATTTCCCCCTGCTGTTTTTTATTTTTTTTTGTTTTGTTTTTTGTTTCTTATTGACTTCTTCAGCTCTGGTCCTGACAGGTTAGGAAGTCTGACGTAGTTGTGGCCAGAGGCCCTCCAGTGTTACTGCTGGGGAGAGCCCTTCACCACTCCAGCCCACACAACTCGGGAGCCAGGGACCAAGCTTGGGTTTCATTTGGATTCATTTGGCCTAATGAGCTGGTCCAGGATGACAAACTACCAAAGAGTCGATACGCAGTGGCTGCTGGATGACCTAAGGTACTGGGAATGCAAACAAAGCTGGGAATAGGGTCCGTTTCAGCACCATGGCTGCTTTATTTATCTGGCTGTGCCTAAAACGGACCTGTAGAAACTGGGAGTTTCTTTTATTATGTGCACAGTGACATAATGAGGGAGGGCCTCCTGGCTGAGATCACGGTGCTGACATCAGAGTCCTGATAGAACGCCAGCTTTCATACTCTTGTGGCTGAGTTGCTTGCATCTAAACCACATCCTATCCTAAATGTCAGCCCCAAAGTGCTGCTCCTATGACAGGTTTGTAGCTAGAGTCCAGGAGGAAACATGTAATTTCCTGCTGTCGTATTTTCCAGTGATGTCAAAGGGATTTGGAGTTACAGCTACATTGCTATCACTGCCGCTTGTGTCAACATGTCCATACCAGCTTTAAACTACCGGAGCTTGCCCAGATGCTGCCGTCAGGATAGCTACAGCAGGATGGTGCTCAGTGCAGACTGGAAAACCTGCCTGAAAAACGGAGTAAATCCTCAGGCAGCTAGCTCAGAGCCTACGCTGAGCTCCATGCCCCCATAGCTGTCCTCAAACTAGCTAGCTTAAAGTTGGCATGGGCATGTCGACCTGAACTGTAGTCACAGTGTAGGCAGACCTAGAGAGAGACTTCAACCCACACTGCACTTCCATTTGAATGTGTTGAACATGAGCACCAGAACTATGAGCTGAGATGCCTGAATTTTGCCGTGTTTTCAGGTTGACAATATGGATTTGATGGCACATTGGGGGCTTTGAGTTTTATTGATGTCTGCTGCAAAGCTCCCTTGGCGTATGTGTGCCTTCATGCTGTGCTGTAGGGGAGAGCTTGTCCCCGGGCTCTGACGGGTGTCTATCAAGGGCAGCCGCAATAAAGCAGTGAGCAGGAGGGTGCAGAAGAGGAGGGAAGACCCAAGGAGGGTTGGGGCCGCTTGCGGGCGGCCTAGAAGGGGAGGAAGCTGATGGTTCATTGTCAGGGCTTTTTATGTACCTGAGGGCTTTACCAGACACTGAAAACAAAATGAAGTCGACCGCATCCCTTCGTGGGATCTGTTCCTGCTGTGCCCCCATGTGCTGAAATTTTAAGTCTTGAAAATGGGATTAAGTGGGATAACATGCTGGGTTACTTCATCAAATTGCCCTCATTCTAATCCAGTGCATGGGTCCTTTCATTTAAAAAAGAAAAGAAATAA